CGTATGTATTAGTGAAAAATCTATAAGTAGTCACTGTGAGTATCCCTAAAATGGAAGAACGAGATGTGTTTGTTTTTAAATGAGTTGTCATGAACGGATGCTGATATATATATTAGGCAGGTTAGCATGAGTGATTTCAAACGCAAGAAACGAGTTTTGATTTTTATTAAAAGACAAGTACAGAATACCACCCAGGCTGGAGTATTTTACAGAAGGATTGAACACAACTAATTATGATAATTTATAAATTACTAATTACAAACACCGCCTACCGTTTGTGCACCTGATGGAATTGAGTATGCCATCAGAATTCTTGCAGTTACATCCTCAAGTTTTTATTCATACGATTGAATTTACATCTACGTATGCAAATATTACGAACAGTAATGAAAAAAAGAGACTTTTCTGGTCTTTCCTGCAATAATCTGAAAAACCAAGACTCGTCTTCGTAAAGCACGATAATGCAACCAAATTCCTATAAAGTCTACTAACTGTTGAGCTGAAATGTGTCATGGTCCTTTTGAAATCATCAAATCGAAACCTTTTTTATTTTCATTACGTTATTCCATAACCTTACGGATAGTCTTTGTAGTTGTCCCTTTATTAATCAACCAAATCGTGTCTCTCATATTTATTTATTTATTATTATTATTATTATATTTTTTTTAGTCCATTTAGTCTGATACGATTTCGTGTCTCTGAGTCTCTCATTTTAAAGGTACGCATTCCCCCTAACAACATCTTCGCCATAAACGACAAGAAGTCTTCGGAAGGTGCAGCTGAGGACTACGAGAACCGCCTCAAACAGCTCGTATAATGAAAAAGAGAGGAAAATAAAAACAACTATTATAAAAAAAAAATCCAACAATTATATATCGGTATTAATGTTAACTCAAACTTGTTAATTTAATGAAATTACAGACCCGGATCCCAATTCGGACCCATGGGAGGTACAGAATGCAAAAATATTACCTCACACTTACAGGGGCACTTTCGGCTATTCACATATCGTCATCCCCCCTCCATGATATGAATCATTCTTGTAGTACTGCTCACCTGTTCAGCTGTTCTGTTATCGGAATTCGGAATCCCTATATCTACAGAAGAGAGAGGAACCAGCCATGGATGCATTGGACTCAGTTTTTGACCCATTCAGAGATTTCGCCAAGGACAGCGTTCGCCTCGTCAAGCGTTGCCACAAGCCTGATCGCAAAGGTATAGCTCGTCCTTGCCCAATCTACAATCTGACAGCTCTCTGATTTGGTTTAACTTTAAGTAAATGGGTTTTGGATTTTTTGATTTGCTACTGCGAAACGAACCTTTATTTGATCGTTTATAATACTTACTGCCATTTGTTTTATTTTTTTTTTTATTTTTGATTTTTTATTTTTGAAGAAAGAAAACATGAGATATTTGGAATACTGCTGTTTCAAAAGATTGTTGAGCTACTTTATATCCTGCCTAAAATTCAAGGGTTCCCTTGTAATCACATTTGTTAAATTCCGTAATTTACTTTTGTTATCTGTAGATAATTTAGATAAAATGAATGTTGTGTATACTTTTTCTGTAGATAGTATTCCTAATAAATTGTTGAAGTGTAGCATAATAGAGAAGCGAGCCAGAAAAAAAGGCTGCATTGTGTCGATTATTTTTCCTTCATTATTTTTATTAGTATCTAAAATTCCTTGATATGAGTTTGATGCCTTGAGAGTTTTCAGATGTTTCCGGAAGCTCTCTTCATTCAACTCCTGAAAGTGATGTCGCATTCTGACGTCGAAATACGAGTCGGAGGGCATCAAATATTCTGTGTTCTCCTAATCCCAAGCTACGCTCATATGAAGAGCGATGCTTTCAAGAATCCAAAGTTGCATTCCAAAATGCTTCAACATTTTCCTCAATTACTGCCCTGCTTGAAAAGCTTCGTCTAGAAGTATATGGAACTAATGTGAAGCATGCAAATGAAGAAGGCGACAATCAGCAGCCAAACAGAGCTGAGGATGAGTGGAAGCCTGGGAGGTCCCACAAGAGCTCCCCTAATATGCACATAATAAGCTCCATTGTTGACAGGACTATTGGGCCTTCTATCCTGAAAGAGACTGTAAGGAAGTTTTTTCTTGGTCGAATTTTCATGTTGTATTGATTATGTAACACTTAGTCGTTTTATATTTTTTATTGCAGGAACAGATTTTTTTGCAATGCAATGAGGATCAAATGGCACAGTTGCTTTCAGCTTTATGGATAGAAGTCAATCTACCTGATAACCTGCCTGCTAATATCGAAGCTATTGCACAGTCATTCTGTCTAGCACTTATTTCTTGTCGGCTTAAGGTTCTTACTTCAATTCATATGTTGTGTGTGTGTGTTCTGTATGTTTCCGGGCTTAGACTACTCGCCATCCTCTTAATTTAATTTATTATTATTGTTATTGATTTACTTGACAAATTCTCCTTTTGTAGACTAAATTGTAGAATATTTTTTTACGAATACTATTATAATTAATATTTATTTATTTAGTTTTGGTGTGAACACAAATTCCATGCTCCATATTTATATATATGCTACAAGTTTTGGTATTTGCTTATACAAACCCTGTGTTCTTTATTTCTGTTATTTTATTTCTGCCATGAAATGATCTCCCGTTTGCTTTGGTTGCAGAACTTGAATGATACTCTGATACTCAGGTTTTTTCAGCTTCCCTTGTCGATAAGAAAGATTGCTTTGGACTCCAATCATGGTTTGAGTTGTTGCCAATGAAAATTTCTCACGTGTTTGAAATAAAATTTCAATCTTTATGCATTCTCTCTGATTACATTACAGGGTCTTCGCCTCCAGCTTATCGGAGGTCACTTCTTGTACTATCGACTGCAATGATGATGTTTGCTGCTAAGCTATATCATGTTGCCGAGACTCGTAATCTGCTCAACGTGTTGGTTGATTCAGATGTAAGTAAGTATTTAGATACATGTTTTCTTTTCCTTTTTTCCATCCACGTGATTTATACTTGTTTCCCTTTACTATTGCGTAGATATTTATCACTTGAAATTCGGAAAGATTTATTAATTAGTTTGTTTTATCCGAATTATAGTTGACCGTTCTGTATTTCTCTACCATTTTACTTTTTTCCTAACTAAACGTAAGTTTTCAATTCTCTACAACTATTATTTTGAATGAATTTAGGTGGACCCACATGTCGACATAAGTGACGAATTTCAAGTCTATGTAAAGTCTCAATCCGAAGTGAAAGATTACGGCTCTGCGTCAGATAACGAAGAGGCTTTGTTGACCCTGGTCAATTTGCGAAGCAAGTCTCAAGAGTCTGATAAAGTCGTGCTTTCCTTATTAGTTGAAAGTTTGTCAACCATTACAAAGGTATAGTTTATTTTGTAATTATTACATTAGAAGGAAAAGAGATTAGTATAAAGTTTGTTTTTATTTTTATATATATTTGTTTTTCATTTGTTACTAGTATGAGTCGGAAGACATTGCTAAGCAGCTAATGGAGGGATTTGTACCGGATGAAGTTTTCATGTTCGGCGCGCAATCTATAGTCGACATGGATCACTTCCAAAGGGCTGCACACTCTAAGGGATCACAATCTTTTGATGGGGTGAGTTTCCTTTGGAGTGTTTGCAATCATTTTATTTATTTATTTCCTTTGAGACAAATGATCATAATGTTTTGGTTTTCGAGTGACTACATAAAATATGTTCAGATATTAATCATTATGATTGATACAGGAGTTTTTGGCAAATTCGTTATTTATTTATATCATCAGTTGCTGATATAACTCGTTTCATGCCAAAGGTTCCTGCTTCTCCTTCTCCTTCGATGTCCCATATTGTCAGCATTGGCCAGCTGCTAGAATCGGTAATATCCCTTCCCTTTTTTTTTTTTTAATTTGTCTTTTTTATTTTATAACCTTTTTTAGAGACTTAGTGCTAGGGAAAAGAACAACAACATACCCAGTATATTCCGAACTGGTTGGGGTCTGGGGGGGTCAGAGACCTTACCCTTGTAATTATACAAGGAGACTGTTTCCGTAGCGACCCAAGGTGCTTGCGTCGTTTGATATATTTTTTTTCTAGAAACTTCACTAATAGAAGAAGCACTAGAATTTAATTGAGCCATTTTTATCTAGTCCATTATTAGCACTATGCCTAGCACTATGCCAGGAGAATTTCAACAATGACTCTTCTAGCTCCATTTGCAATGGACAAGTTTGTTGACTAGATCAAATTTAATTTTGAGGGAGATTGGCTCCATCTGTTCTAAGCAATGTTTGGAAACAATAATTTCTGGTTTTAGGAAAATTTTACGCAGCCATGGTTTGTAGAAGATCTTCGGATGATGCTAGCACTCCCCTATGTAGTTGAATTTTGTGCATTTGATAGGTTGCATCTGACCCTACATTTTAAATGGAACCCTTGTATTTTGAAAATATTTAGTAGTTAGTTCAAAGCATTGATCTCATTCTGTGTTCCTGGGAAGGAAATCTATCATGGGTCTACTTGAAAAGTAACACTTTTCTTCATGTACGCACTCATCTTCTTCATCTTCCTTTTCTCCATGTACGCACTCACCTATCTTTTTCATCTTCCTTTTCTCCATGTACGCACTCATCTCCGTGTCGTTCTTTACGAGCGAGTTAGTCCCTTTGAAAAAATGCTCGTACGATGCCTTCTGCCTCATGCCCGTCTCACGCACCAACCCTGGGTGTATTGAGCTTGAGCAAACTAGCCTGTCTCATCTTTTCGATGAGTCAAATATTATGCGGTCATCCCTGGGTGCACGAGCTTGAGCAATGATCCCGCTCGGCCCATCGATGCCTGAAAAATATATACCTATGTCGCTATAACTGTTTTCATTATCTTCTATAGAATTAAAAAATGTGGCCTTCTTCCATATGTCGAAGGCACGACGCACCGAGCCTTTAAATTTCTCGGGGAATCCTTTGTGGAACCCATAGTAGAGGACATCAGTGTCCCACTTGACATTCCAAACATTAGCTTAAAGAGAGCTATGCCAAAGTTAGTCGACTCAGGTCCTTTAAAATCGCAACTGATGATGATAGGTTTAGTGAGGTCTCTGGAATTGGCCTACTCGATTGTCCAGAGCAGAGACAATATGAAGAAGCTCATCATTGTCATTGTTTTTCTTTTTTTGGTAAATGTATTTTAGATCAAAACTGAAGTTCAATTTAAAACAGATTCTTGTTATTTATGCTCAGTTTATACTCGAATTGGTATGATGTTGGTAATAGTTGGTTCATATTTAGCTATTATGCTCCAATGGTATGAATGTTGGTTGATGGAGTTTGGTGCATGACTACATCCACTAAACTCCATCTACTAACATTCGTACAATTGGATCATAATAGCTGAATACGAACCAACTATTACAAACATCATACCAATTCGAGTATAAACTGAGCATAAATAATAAGAACTTGTTTTAAATTGAACTTCAGTTTTGATCTAAAAATTTACATTTACCAATCAAAAAAAATGACAATGATGAGTTTCTTCATATTGTCTCTGTTCTGGACAATCGGGTGGGCCAATTCCAGAGACCTCACTGAACTATCACCAATTGCGATTTTAAAGGGCCTGAGTCGACTAACTTTGGCACAACCCTCTTTAAGCTAATGTTTGGAATGCCCAAATGGGACACACTGATGTCCTCTATTATGGGTTCCACAAAAGATTACCCGAGAAATTTAAAGGCTCGGTGCATCTTGCCTTCGACATATGGAAGAACGCCATATTTTTTAATTCTATAGAAGATAATGAAGATACTTATAGCGACATAAGTGAGTATTTTTCAGGCATAGATGTCCGAGCGAGACCATTTCTCAAGCTCATGCACCCAGGGATGGCCGCATAATATTTGACTTATCCGAAAAATGAGGCGGGCTAGTTTTCTCAATTCACCCAGCCCCTGTTTGCTTTGCAGGATTAGGCAGGATATCCCGCTTAATCCTGGCCTAATCCTATGTGGTTCACTGTATTAAGGCCTGCGGGATTGAGTCGGCCCAGTATAAAAAAATGAGTTATCCCATGAATTCAGGATAATTGAATCCCTCTTTTTACATGGGATTAATCTAATCCTGAGAAGCTAAAGTCGAAATTACCCTCATTTTAATAATTTTCGGACTGTTTTGACTTCCCTATAACATAAATTACAACTAGACCTATAATCAGTTTTCCCATTAATCATCTCACATCGTCGCAAATATAAATCTAAAACTGCCCTAGCCCGAAGAACTGAAACCGCACTCCAGCTTCATCTCCCTCGGCAACGATCGATCTAGGATAATTATTGTCCGTTGTCCGCTATCAAAATTTTCCACCGATTCCGAAGTCCGACATCTGCGAAAGGTAATTATCGGCATTAATCTTAAAATTTTGATATCAATGGTGTGAAAGTGTTTTGATTCCGAAGTAATGTGCCTGTGAATGTGTTCTTCCCATGAACGGTTTCAATGTGCTGTAGTTTGCGAAGTCTGAATGTGTTTTGATGTTTGTGAATGAAACTTGAATATCCAGATTTTATTACCTCTTATTTGCAAGTTTGATACTTTAACAAGGTTTATTGTGTCTTGCAAAGTTTGTGGTCTGCTAATTTGGTGCGATACACCTCCGAATGATCTTGGTTTAAGACTTAATTATGCGCAGTATAGTTTTTCATTTCATTTATTTTTATCAGAAAAAGATTAATAATTTTCTGTGTATTAATTTGAAAGTTTTTATTGTGTCAAATGCCGTTACAAAAAAACCCTTTCTTATTTTCCTAAAAAAAATGAAATAAGAAATTGAAATTTTGCTCATGAAAATGTTGATTCCTTTGAGGAAAATATAATTAGTCTTGTCCATAGATAATAAACTTGAATTGTCTTTACTTGGAGAGGCATTAATTGTGCAACTAGTACAAATGGGTAGAGCTGTTAGATGTGTGCTGTTAGATGTGTGCTGGTAAAGCCACAATTCACTTTAGTAATTTAAATTTTTAATTACATTTGCAGTTTGACTTTATTTCATATAAATATATAAATATAATAATATGTATATGTGTATATGGTCTACATAAGTAATGTAACTATTGTGATTACAGCCTACTAGCTTGAGTTAATTATAACAATATTGCATCAAGCTTTGTTCAACCAAATTTTCAAAACCAATATGACTGCTATTTACTACGGCATATGGAACTGCTAGGCTTGTTTTAAGGACTTAATATTGTTGTAAGTGACCTGTACATAGTTCGGTTTTGATTCTATATTTCAGAGTCTTAAGGTGACTTACAACCAGACCTATAATCTGGATGTCTATCTTCTTCCCTCTACTAATTTGACTACACATGTGTTCTGGGCTGCTGTGTGTATGGAGTTATATTGATCTTATTGTATCTGTACATGCCACCATAAATTCTTATTTGCTTGAGTTATTTATTTATATCACTTTGTTGTATTGATGTTTGCGGCAGATACTCATGGACATGGTTACGGAAGAATTGGAAATTGTTATGATTCTCGAATTAATTCTAAGTTTAATAAGAATCATTTTGGTCTTCTGTTATGTGTATAAAAAATATGTGCATGACCGTAGACGTCGTCGTACCATGGGTCGTAGGAGTCATACACCTATGTGTCGCATGGCTGACCGCCTTAATAGTCAAATTCGTCATTTTCTACAAAGCATAATCATAACATAAACCAACAGCAGAATATCAGACCCAAATATGCAAATATACAGCAGGAATAAACAAGATAATTTCTTTCAAGGTTTCAATTGAATTGCTACAAATTAAAACAAAAAAGACAACTGTCAAACCAAAAATAGACAATTGAAGGCATTTTACTGTTTGAGAAGAAATCGTCTACACAATCGACAAAGCATAAGCAAGTGTTTCCCACTCCCTGTGGGAGAATTTTTACAGAGGTCTCGTTCGAACTGGGCTCAATTGTATCGAATTTATGCAGAGATTTTATCGTTCGAACCTTTGGGAGAATTTATATTCAATTCTTCTTCCTCATCTGCCAATTGAGCTTGTCCCAATCTGAATCTGAAAGGTAAGAGTAGATTTGATTTGAAACTTAATAAGTTGCAGAATCTTCATTCAGACTCTGCTAAAGAGCCTATGAATGCTGCTTCGCAGAGATTTTATCGGCGTGGCTCCGGCGAGAATGGACGGTGGCTTGTGTGCGTGAAATTGAGACTGTTTATTGGGGCTAAGCTGCTGGGATTTGAGAGCACGAGTTTGAAAGTGCTCGACAAAATGAAGAACACAGCTGCAGAGGAGAGTTTCTGAGGAGATTAGGGAAAAACCTCAATTTTGTAATCGATTTATTCACATGGGTAATAAAGTAATTTACCCCATTATGTTTCATATAAACACTTTTTTATCTTTTTTAAAAATAAAGTTATCCTAATCTTTATCCTATGTACCAAACATAGAATAATATTAGTCCAAACAGTACAATCCTATACCATTGCACTATTTTAGTCCAATCCCATCCCAGCAAGCAAACATGCACCCAGAGTTGGTGCGTGGGACGGGCTAGTTTGGATGAGGCCGCAGGCACCGCACGAGCATTTTTTCAAAGGGACTAACTCGCTCGTAAAGTACGACATGGAGGTGAATGCGTACATGGAGAAAAGGAAGATGAGTGGTGTGAGGAGCAAACAATTTCTTGAGATGGCCATCGAGGGAGGTATTCAAGACTCCACTTGACTTTGGGTAAGAATGTCACAAGAAGACTCCACGTGGTATGATGCTGCCACAATTTAGAAAAGTTAGTAATACATATAAGAAATAATAAGTATTAAGCCAAATAATAAGTATTCCTTTTATTTTGCAATACATATTATTTAAAAAATACTTTATCACTATGTCTTTAAATGTTTACACATATCTATCAATGTTTATTCATATCTATCTTTATAATTATAAAATAAATTACATGTAATGAAGAGTATAAATTTCAAATTCTAAAAAATGAAACTATAATGTAGGACCGTTTATTATTTCAGTAAAAATTAATAATTTCAATTTAATATCGTATATATGATTATTTGATATTTGATAAATAATTGTACCGTAGTCTATTTTCAATGTTCACAATGTGTTAGTCTTTTAATTAAATGTGGGCAAACGAGTTACAAATCATTATTATCAACTCTAATCTAAGATATATTTTTAATATTAATTACAGTTGAATGGTCGTGAATGTTCATTGTCATTTTCAAAATTTTGTAAAAACCCACTGAAGTTATATCATGTGTAACAAGTTAATACGATAATAATCAATTTTTTATAAATAAAAATACAACTTTTATGCAATAAATAATATACTTTCTTTTTCAGTTTAATCGAAATTAAGCAAAATAAATTCAACTCATGGATTGAAGTTAAATTTTGAAATAACTATCTTAGAAGGGAGAGTTGTTTCTTGAAAAATTAAATTGCCGTAAACTCCATATGCTATAATTAATTTCTAAGACTACTAATGTGATTTTTTCAGAACTATTAGGGAGTTACAAATATCAATAGTTACAATCATTTTTTCGATCAATTTTTTCTCATTCTACGTTTTTTTTTTTTAATTTATTTATGATCTTATTAATCTTTTATTATATTTTTTACCTACTCAATATTTTAATTTATTTTAGTTGATATAAAGACGTTAAGATTATCTAAACAAATATATAAATTACAAATAAATATATTATAAAATTTACGAAAAATGTAGTTTTTAAATGTAAGAAAATATAATTTTAAGGTGTTGTAAGTAAAATATATTTTATTTCATAAGTGTAAAATATATATATGAAAGCATGATCTCTAATTTCCAAATATTCTGTTTTACTATAGATATTTTTTGTGATGGTATATAAAAAATTAAAGAGGAACCATTTAGTGAACTTGCATATGTTTAAGAATGATTGAATCAAAAAAATAGTTATTCAACATACAAAACATCAATTTATTAGTTAAGTGAAAATGTATAGTCTTAATAGAAATACTTCGTTTAAATTATTCACTAAACCAATATACACGATACGATTTAAATTTACTAGATAATAGTATGTATAGTATAAATGATTTAAATTTACTAGATAATAGTATGTATAGTATAAATGTTCTTTTATAATAATATGTGTTACATAAATTAATCTACCATTTACATTAGTTGTAATATAAATCAAAATAGAGTAACTATAAAAATAAAATAAAATAATTAACACTTGATTTTAAATCTTCAATTTCAAAATATGTGTACTTGTTAGAAAAAATTATAGTTACAAATAAAATCAATTAAATAAAAATAAATATTACATTGACTTTAAATTTATTTTCATTAGTCAATCTTATTTATAAAATCATAGATAAAATAAACTTTTCAAATCACTTCAAAAAGTAGGAAACATAAATTTTATAAAAATATTGAGAAGTATATAAAAATAATATTAAGATAAAAGTAAAATATAAAAGAATCATTATTTTATAATTTATTTAAAATAGAATTATTTGTTTTTCAGTTTTAGGATAGTCTTGAAAATCCATTAACGGAAATGATAATGCATGCATGACAATATTAGGAGATGCAACAATAATTTATTTTGGACAATATATACAGATATATATACCTTCGATCAACCACGACAATATATATAGATAGATATCTTTAATCAATGAGGATGCTATTGTTCCTAATAATTTTCAAGTAATTTTTTTTTAAAATAATTACGACTTTAAAGATATTTATCTCTTATGTCATTATATACAGAGAGAAAATATATATCTAAATATTATAAAATATTACACGTGCAAATATAATTGAATTTGTAACCGTTATATTCAAAATAATAGAGAATGAATGATTCAACCATAGTGGGTTAGCTTCCAATCAACAATAAAAAAATGATAGTTACAAATTATAGTTATAGTAAATTCGAGTTATTATTCAAAGAGTATGACGCAAAAAAAAGACATTAAAAACTATTATTTTGACAATAATAATAATCATTATTATAAGCATAATGATATCATTAAATAACAAAATCAATGACGACATAGATTTCTTTAGCATTTAAAATTTCACAAAAAAAATATAAATTTTATTTGGTATTTTCTAACCAATATTTTTTTCATTTAATTTATTTGTGGAGTTCGGTTGATAGTATTAATTATTATAATAAAATACACATTTTTTTCTTAAATAATGGAAAGAAAATTATATTATACTATTAAATTAAGTCTAATAATAAAATAATTTTAGGTAATAACAAAAAAAAAACAATATCACGTGCGTAGAACGTGCATCTTCCTAGTACGCTCAAATGTGTAGCGCCATCTCAAAGTAACTGAATGGAATTGATCGATTGAAATGATTTGGCGGATGAAAGCATACCGTCCCGCATATTCTCCGAAATGAACAAATCCCTCAACTTATTGTTGACCGATGATAGTTCCTTTATCGGCTCCCGAGATCTATGGCGATCGGGTGAACCACCGTCGCACCGTGGAGGCAGCCTCCTGCCGCCGCCAAGTCCTAGATGCATCCGGAGGGTTTTTCTCCGGAGGAGGTGTATGTCAGTGCTCATGGTGGGACTTCTGACCACCACTCATCGACTTGCAAGGAACTTGAATTTTGTGCAGTGCTGCCATAGATTTGTGAGGGAGAGATTAGAGTAGCTAGATTGGGAGAAATTCTCACACTGTGTGTGCGTGCGTGCGTGCAGTTCAACCGAAAGTAGAAAAAAGCTTTCAATGACATGAACCGAAACAATCAAAAAGTACAATAAACAACCAATAGTCAAAAAGCAAAACAGATTTTCGGGGTTAAAGCCAGAAGAGCAATTAAGATGCCCAAAATTCTGGAGAAAAGGTCAATTACAGTAGGAGAGAGTGTTAGATTTCCTTTCCATGATATCGTCATCCCCCTCCATGATATGATTCATCCTGCAGTAGATTTCCTTTTCACTGTATAAATCAACTTAATTACTGCTCACCTGTTCTGTTATCGCATGCCCTAGATCTACAGACGAACGAGAATGAGAGAGAGAGAGAGAGAGAGAGAGAGAGAGAGAGAGAGAGAGAGAGAGAGAGAAGAAGCGAACCAAGCCATGGATGCGTTGGACTCAGTTTTTGATCCACTCAGAGATTTCGCCAAGGACAGCGTTCACCTCGTCAAGCGTTGCCACAAGCCCGATCGCAAAGGTATAACTCGTCCTTGCCCAATCTACAATCTGACAGCTCTCTGATTTGGTCTGATTGACTCGATTTTGCGGATTTTTGTTTTCAGAGTTTACGAAGGTAGCTACTCGAACGGCTGATCTTCATTCCCATCAACAATATAATTGTCGGGGCTACATAAATTTTCCATGGGTAATTTAACCCTTAAAATATTCCAATTTGAATTTGATTTGTGTGTGAAAACTGAATTGATTAATCTGAACTATGCTTTGATTAATTATGTCTAGGTTAATCTTTGATTAATATATCTAAATATATACATAAGCACATGTATGTATATGGCCGATACTCGGTGAAGTGCTGAGAATTTCAGCTGGCTGTGATGTTTGTTTTTGTGATGCCTCTATTGATGGGGGCTAGTGAGTCACTACGTATTAAAGGAATGTATATTCTTTTGTTAGGATTAGATTCAATAGTTTATAAGACCTTCGTATATCCATTTTAGACGCGTTTTGCCAAAGAAATTATTTTGTTAAGCTTAGCTCTAATGATGCCAAAGAAACAATTTATTTGACTGAGTTTATAGTTTTGAATTATCTTGTAAAGATGCAAAGTTCTTTTAAGTCACAGGGAATTGCCTTTCTGGATCTTTCAGTATATGTTTGTTGACTAGATAAAATTTAATTTTGTGGGAGATTGGCTCCATCTGTTCTAAGCAATGTTGGAAACATTAATTTCTGGTTTTAGGAAAATTTTACGCAGCCATGGTTTGTAGAACATGTTCGGATGATGCTAGCACTCCTCTATGTAGTTGAATTTTGTGCATTTGATAGGCTGCCTCTGACTCTACATTGTAAATGGAACCCCTATGTATTGAAAGTATTTAGTAGTTAGTTCAAAGCATATATCTCATTCTGTGTTCCTTTTATTGGTTGGAAGGAAATCTATCGTGGGGGTACTTGAAGAGTAGACACTTGCATTTTTTATTTGCTTGGCCATAATTTTGCGCTAAAATAAGAAACAAATCAAGAAAATGTATACATAAGAAGTATACATACAAGGAAAATGTTCAATTCATCTGTACTTTAGAGCTTTAGGCTTTGGCCTGACATAACTGCTGTTGTGCTACCACAAGTATTATCGTATAATATGAGTCGTCATCAGCTACCGTGGCACATATTTATACATCTATGAAGATAATTGTAGTCGTGTGTCTCTGCATTCATGAGAATGTGTTTCCATCTTAAGTAGAAATTTAAGCCGTCTATGCTGGTGAGCTGACTATTCGTTTCACCGTCGAAGCGCTTTAGGATAAGTAATAAGACTAATTGAGACTTTTGTGTGATATTGCAGGATTTTGCTCTGATCTAGAACCTTGTACATCCAAGACCAGCGATGAAATGCAGTTCTATTTATTACTTTAGCTCCCTTCTCAAACTTCTGTTGTAGGACTTCTGCCATGAAATAATTAGTACTTCAATTGTTGCCTAATTTTTTCGTTTTCTTTTTTCTCACTTTTCTCTTTCTTGTCCTCCTTCCTTATGTTTCTCAGTTATGAATCTCCGTGCACGATTTTGTATGTTCGATAATTCCATGATGCCTTGTGTTCAGATGGCCAAAACCGGTTCTGGGCCAAGGGTTGGCCAGCCCGGTTCACTATATATAAAAAGGGCAATCGCTGGTTCTGGTTCCGGTTCGAGTACTGAACCAGACCGGTCAAACCACAGGCTCAGTTCAAGGCCCGTTGACGATGGGCGGGTTCAGGGCCGGTCCGGGCTGAACCGGCCTGGTCATGTCTACTTATGTTATTGTACAAATTCTTTCTAAAGTCCGCTCACTTGTTTGGGTGAAAATATTTCTGAGTTGGTCTCTCAATAATATCGAATAGGACTGGTCGAGCTATGGAGTTTCATGGATTTTACTTGCTTGTGAATACAATAGGATAATGTAGTTTTAGGTCGCTCCAATATCTGATTTAAAGCGTAATTGTATGTTTTCATATTTCAGTCTAGGAATCTTATGAAATTATATGATGAATATAAAGTTGGGGGCTTAATATCTGGGTTTAGAACATTGAGATTTGACAAAATTAATTGCACCTGAGTCTTCACAGGAGAAAAACCAAAACTCACATTTGCAATATAAACACTTTCCCGTTACAATATAAACAAAATAGGTGTGCCAATTTTATCTAAACTTCCAACGGATTATCCTCCTACTACAATCCCTTATTAAGTATTTAAATAAAAAATAAAAAAAAATACAATCCCTTATTCAAGTAAACCCACAAGAAATCATCAACATTGCACATCACACCTCCCAATCCCCATTCTCAACCTACCCCTTGACCTCCCTCCAAAGGCTTCTCCTTGTGAGATTCCTACCCCAAGTGGAGTCTTCTCCTTGTGACATTCCTACCCCAAGTCAAGTGGAGTCTTGAATATATCATGTCCGCATTAGCTCCTCCCTCGATGGCCATCTCAAGAAATTGTTTGCTCCTCACACCACTCATCTTCTTCATATTCCTTTTCTCCATGTATGCACTCACCTATCTTCTTCATCTTCCTTTTCTCCATGTACGCGCTCACCTCTGTGTCGTACTTTACGAGCGAGTTAGTCCGATTGAAAAAATGCTCCTACGATGCCTTCTGCCTCATCCAAACTAGCCCGTCTCACGCACCAACCCTGGGTGAATTGAGCTTGAGCAAACTAGCCCGTCTCATCTTTCGGATGAGTCAAATATTATGCGGCCATTCCTGGGTGCTTGAACTTGAGCAATAGTCCCGCTCGGCCCATCGATACCTGAATAATACATACTTATGTCGCTATAAGTGTCTTCATTATCTTCTATAAAATTAAAAAATGTGGCGTTCTTCCATATGTCGAAGGCACGACGCACCGAGCCTTCAAATTTCTCGGCAAATCCTTTGTGGAACCCATAGTAGAGGACATCAGTGTCCCACTTGGGCATTTCGAACATTAGCTTAAAGAGGGTTGTGCCAAAGTTAGTCAACTCAGGCCCTTTAAAATCGCAACTGATGATGGGTTTAGTAAGGTCTCTGGAATTGGCCCACTCAATTGTTCAGAGCAGAGACAGTATGAAGAAACTCATCATTGTCATTGTTTTTTTTTTTTTTTTGATTGGTAAATGTAAATTTTTAGATCAAAACTGAAGTTCAATTTAAAACAGATTTTTGTTATTTATACTTATTTTATACTCGAATTGGTATGATATTGGTAATAGTTGGTTCATATTTAGCTATTATGCTCTAATTGTATAAATGTTAGTGAATGGAGTTTGGTGCAAGGCACGTACCTTAACCATCCTTGCCTTCTTCATCTTCCTTTTCTCCATGTATGCACTCACCTTCGTGTCGTACTTTACGAGCGAGTTAGTCCCTTTGAAAAAATGCTCGTACGGTGCCTTCTGCCTCATCCTGACGTAGCCCGTCTCACGCATGCACCAACCCAAACTCCTCGAGCTCCTTGGGAGGAAGAATGCCCGACGGGAACCCTAGCTCGTCTAGGAGCTTCAGGGAGTGGTTGTGGCATTCTTCAGCTCCGTGGACGATTTCGGCCCCGACACGTTGGTCTTCATGCGATTTCTTGGGTGCCATTTTTGGTTATAGGCAGGGGCGGATGTATGTGTATGTTAGGGGGCCATTGTCCCTCCAAGATTTATAATTTTTAGTATATGTATGTATATGTATATCATTTGTCACATAAACTCACACAATTATATTAAAATAGTAATTTTATTTTCTTTCTATAAATAATTTAACTACAATTATACTTTTTTTACATTTTTATATAACTTTTTTATTTTAATTTAAATAAATTGAATGTATGGTAAATATGTGAAAACATAAAAATTGGTAACTTTTTTAAGAAGAAGACCATATAAGATATGCTTAATGAAAAGAGAAAATATTAAGACAATTAGTATTGCGTCAATCATTAATGAAATTGATCAGTTGAGAGAACGTCCAATGTAAATTTGTTAATGTCAAGGTTTGAAACTCTATAATTTATGTTGCACTATTATTATGTGTAATGTTATAATACAACTTTATATCTTTTATGTACATTAAATTAAATTTATGATTATTAAAAAATATATATATAGTCCCCTTCAAAATAAATTTCTGGATCCGTCCATGTTATAGGTTGAGAATGGGGATTGGGAGGTGTGATGTATTTTGTAGGTGCAATGTTGATGATTTCTTGAGGGGGTTTACTTAAATTAGGGGATTGGATAAACACTTTGACAAACACATTTACAATATTGTAAATACTTCTCCGTTATTTTCTTCCTAAATTCCGATTTTCAAAGCCTGCCTTAATTACTTACCATGAAATAGGTGTGTTTCTAAGATGCGAGACCATAGCAAACTTGCTACAATTCAACCTAGTTTGGTGAACAACTCCATCAACCAAACACAATTCTATCACAATAAGGAAAAAAAATCCCAAAATTATCCTCCTACAACAATCCCTTATTTAAACCCGCCCAAGAAATCTCATCAACATTGCACCTGCAAAATATACAACACACCTCCCAATCCCCATTCTCAACCTAACCAGAAATGGCACCCAAGAAATCGCATGAAGACCAACGTGTCGGGGCCGAAATCGTCCACGGCGCTGAAGAATGCCACAACCACTCCCTGGAGCTCCTATCCGAGCTAGGGTTCCCGTCGGGGATTCTTCCTCTGAAGGAGCTCGAGGAGTGTGGGTTGGTGCGTGAGACGGGCTACGTCTGGATGAGGCAGAAGGCACCGTACGAGCATTTTTTCAAAGGGACTAACTCGCTCGTAAAGTACGACAAGGAGGTGACTGCGTACGTGGAGAAATGCAAGATGAAGAAGATGAGTGGCGTGAGGAGCAAACAGTTTCTTGTGTGGGTGCCTATAGTTGAGATGGCCATCGAAGGAGGAGCTAATGCGGAGAAGATATACTTCAAGACTCCGATCGGGGTAGGAATGTCTTTTCCCATGAGTGCTTTCATGGATGAAGAACAAAACAAGGAGAAGCTTTTGGAGGAGGTGAAAGAGTAGAGAGGATGCGTGTGTGCTTGTCATGGTTTGTATAAGTTCAATAAAAGAATTTGGTTTGGGTTTTCTTTTTTTCTCCATGTCAGTTATCTTTAAATGACAGTTTATTATCACTATTATTATTATGATTATTACTATTATTATTGTCATGATTTAGAAAGTCATATGTAATTCGTTGGCTAATGAAAGCTTTAATTTGGCACATGTGTGTGTTTATTATGGTGATGTTTGGCTATGAATTTAATTAGGATCATATTAACTTAATTTATTTTGTCTTAATTGTTATTACAATTTACATGACACTAGTGCACTTGTCCGTGTGCAATACTAACGTTAGTAATGTAACATATTATATCAGATATAATGTGTCGTGGATGTTTTTAGACTAACAATTCAGCAAATCAGTCCACAAACACAAATAAGTCACGGGGCTATTATTATTATTATTATATTATTATATTATTATTATTATTATTATTATTAGAAGTTAAAAAGTTGATATTGTTGACGAATGTTTATCCATTTTCTGTGTGATCTTTTATGGTTTATATATAATAAAGAAACTAGTACAACACCACCCGTATGTTACACGGGTGCTTGTTAAAAAATTATTCTTAAATTTTAAAATTAATGGAAAAAACTATGTTAAATTTAGTTTACTTTTTTACAAAAAAAATATATTACTATATATTTTAGAATGATATGTGTTACTTATGACCTACATGTGTTATATTATATTAGTTTTTATAACTTATATCATATAAGTATTTGAAATATAAATATATTAGTTGATAAATAATTTTATTTTTTTAATTAATATTAAAAATAATTTTATTATTGTTATAAAGATAAATATAAATTATTTTTTTATACATACAATATGGATGTTAAATCGAAGCTCATCAAAAGAAGATTAATTTGATATATTACATATGTAAAACTGATAAAAAATACAAAAGTTATTAACTTTTAAAATATATATACAATTCAATAGTTATAATAAGGAATAATATTAAATTGCAATTAATACATGTAACATGACCATAAATAATCAACATATTTATGGTAATTCGAACCTAATTATTTTTGTTTTGGAATTAAATTAAAATTTATCCAAACCTAATAACGAAGCATGTAATTTTGCCACATAGAATTTCGAAGCACCAGAAGCAGCCACGTAGGCTCAACGCGTTCTGAATTAATATATAAGGGAAGGGATATAGTGTGAAATATATGCAGGTAGTAATAAATGGAGTACGCAATTGTGTTCGAACACCAAAAGTAAAAGCGATAACAATTAACTTAAAAATCTTTTCGTGTAGCATCCCACTACAAAGCTTGGACTTACAAGACTCGAACTTTCTTCTAGTCTAGCCAATATTATTATAAGCCAACCCATTAGCTAATCATCTGGCCACGAACGTGTGGACTGCAAACTAACTATGAATCCCTTCCAACTATACCAATACTTGATCCCTAAATATGAAAAGTGTTTGTAAAAACAGAAAACAAAACACAATTCTTCAATGGTATAAGAACATTAAAAAACTGTTCATAATAAAAAATTAAAAAACAAATCTCACAAACACTCCAAGAAGTCTTCAAGTATAATAAACTCTTATAATTTGCAGAGTCTACAATTGAGTATACATAT